TGAGCAGCTTTAATTGCCACAAACGCGGACAGAGACATAGGTAGGTAGAAAGCAGTAGAGCAGTTCACCGATCGTTGTTGGGAAAATGCGGAAGGCGGGAAATCGAAATGGAGATAAATAAAGGTTCTTTCAGTATATAGATGGAATTGGTGGGTTCGTTGAAGGGGGGACAGTCGCAAATACGTCGCTTACTTTGGATACTGATTAAATATGAATCACAGGTAGCGCTGTGATTCCAAGTGTGTCCCACAGACACATGTTTTCCAGCATTTTCTGAATCAATCGATTCCATTCCCGATCCAGCTGCTGCCTCCGAAACAGTCAGTTGATTTGTACAATAACAAAATACGATGTACGATGGTTCCCCATTTTACAATCGTACAATAAAGGGTATTTATTCAAGTGAGGTGGGATCCAGCTGGAATGAAGGAGGCCGAACAAAGGGTAGATATAGATATTCCACAGAACCCGTTGTTGGAACAGCAGCAAGCCAGCCGCAAAGATGGTGAGTGATAGCTTCGACTTGGTCTTGTCCAGTCGCTCGGTGACTGGCTTTTTGTTTTATTCTCCTAGCTCTTTCGTCGTTCGGTTCGCCTCTTGGTGGGTTCTTTCTGTCTTTCTCTCAATCTTAATTACACAAAAGTGCCAATTAATTGTTGTGTGTTTTCTTGGCTTTTTCTTTCGCCACACTGCTTCTCTGTGCCTTCCCAGGCACCTTCCCGACACCTCGAGGCTACATTTTGTTCATTTTATTGTTCTGTTTCTGCTGCTGTTTGACGAAAGTTCTGTCGATCGGTGGATGCTTCGTGGGTCCCGGAGTGTGAGTGTGAGTATGGTGCGGATAGCCAAGAGAAAAGCAAAGTAGACACATACAATGGGGGGCGACAAGTAGAGCAGACAACCTCCTCCTCCTCCTCCTACTCGGCTGCCTTTCTGGAGCAAAACGATTCAAAATCTAATTCTCCCTCCATCTATCTTTGCAGTCGTTGCCGTGACAGTGCGTAATCCACGCCAACGGACGTCAGCCTGGCTGGAAGCTGCAGCCTCACCATTAGCAACCACCACAAGACTGAAACGACGCCGTCCACCAGAATAGCAGCCCAGAAGATGGCTAGTACCGGGGAGATTTGGCTGCAGTGGTTCTCGTGCTGTTTTCAGCAGCAGCGTTCGCCCTCCCGCCGCCCGCACCAACGCCTGCGCATCGACCGATCCATGATTGGGAATCCAACAAACTTTGTCCACACCGGGCACATTGGCTCCGCGGACGTGGAGCTCTCGGCCAACCGCCTCAACGCGATCTCAACCCAAATGCAAGGCAAGGGCGGCTACGAGGCGACATCGAAACACTCGCTTCATGTAAGTATCCGCGGAAGGGCATCTGGTCTGCCAATGTAGAGACGAAGTGCCATTTGTTGTCGTGTTTTTATACCCGGTACTCAAAATGAGTATAGGGGTATATTAGGTTTCTGGTGAGGCGTCCAGAGGAGGCGTTTCCGACCCCATAAACTATATATGTACATATATTCTTGATCAGCATCAATAGCTGAGTCGGTTGAGCCATGTCTGTCTGTCTGTTTGTCCGTCTGTCCGTCCTTATGACCGCCTAGTGCTCAGAGACTATAAGACCTGGAGCAATGAGAATTTTTATCCAGACTTCTGTGATATGTCACTGCCACAAGTGTATTTCAAAAGATCGCCACATCCCCTTCCGGCCCCCACAAGGGACGAAAATAAGTGGCATCCACAATTTTGAAGATACGAATAAATGAAGAACGCACAATCATAGAGAATAACCATATCTACCATACCATACCATATCTATCAGATCGTTATTACAAACATAAGGAACAAATAAATTTGCAGTGGCTATGAAGCGCCCGGGTATAAATGTAGAGTTGCGGTCGCAGCAGCAACTCACAACGTTCCCCCTCGTTTCTTGCTGACTTTCTGCGCTCTGATGCGCTCTGTTAACGTGCGAATCACGTCTGGACTCGATGGAAACCAGCAATGGGAAAAGAGAACCTTCCAGACCCATTTAGCACCTAACAGATTATTATAATAGATTGATAGGGCTGATTGTTACATATACTATACATATACCACGTTTCAGTCTGAAGTTCAGTCTTAGAATCGAAATATGTTTCATGACAGGAAGAGAACATTTTTGCAACAGCAATTGCAGGAAAAGAGCGCCAGCTCCACAGAAGTCTCGCAAATTACAGCCCTGTCTTCGAAATACTTGTACTCTAAAGGCTCGTGAAAGAACATACAATATGTTAAATGTTCCATAGAATCTAGAAACTACATTTGGGCATTCCCCAGACGTTGATAGAGGCAATCGTGCACATTGGAAGTGGTAAAATGTCAAAATAAGACGGATTTCCAAAATTCTTGTCTATTATAAAGCACTTTTAGATTAGTCCTAAATTGGTGGTAATGTCGATTTTGGGCAACTATTCGTTTTCGAGATTTTTCCAACGTCCAGAAGTAAGTGTTTTTGACCCCATATGGAATATATATTGTCTTCTTGTCTGTCCGTCCCCGAAGAGCGTCTTGATCTCAGAGACTACAACAGCTAGAGAAACCAAATTTTGTATCCAGAGTCCTGTGATATCTGACTGTTACAAGTGTGATTCCAAATTTCAGCCCGCCCCCTTCTGCCCCCACAAAGGACGAAAATCTGTGGCATTCACAATTTTGAAGATACGAGTAGACTATAACGAAAAACGTAGAACTATAGAGAATGACTATATCTATCAGATTGCCGAATCTGATCAGATCGGATTACTATAGAAAAAAGGAACAAATCAATTTGCAGTGGCAACGCAACGTCGTCCACGGGCTTACTCAATTTCTGTCTCTCCCTCACTCCCCCTGTGGCACGTTCATGCTAAATATGCATTTACTGGGGGTGGTCCCGTGATGATAAGATCTGCCCCACCTCCTAACCACCGCCTCGCCCCTGTCCAAGTCGCAGCCAGTGGATGGATAGTGGATGAGACAGTGGCCGTGGGGTACTAAGTACATACGTAGTGCACAGTGCAGTGGACACGGTCTGGTACATCGCTTAAACTACTTACATGTACTGGGAACAACAACAGCCATACATACATACATATATATAAATATTATACATGCGTGCATATGTATATATTATAATAATAATCTCAATTTATGTTTCTTTTGTTTTTTCCCCTTTTTTTCGCAGGCTTGCTGATCGTCGCGTCGCTATAAAATGCATTTTGTGCAATTCTTACAAGAAGCCAAGAAGAGAGAGAGAGAGAGAGAGAGAGAGAGAGGGTGGCACTTTTTACAGTTCTTTGTTGGAGCGTGTTATCAGGGGACGGAGCAGGGAGACAGCGATAGCACGAGGGCCGGACGGAGGAAAGGTGCTGACAAAAACCGAAAGCAAGAGCTAGAAGAGAAGACTAAAACCTTAACTGTAACGGACAATGGAGTCCACCGTGGTGATGGTTTGGTTGTGTGTTTCCAGCTGTGGTGGGGAATGGAGCTTGTCAGCTGTCAGCTGTCAGCTGTGTTCGTTTAGGGGTTCCTCTGTTCGGGCTGTTCGCCTTTTGCGAGTATTATGTAAATGAAAAATCGCAGAAAGTGCCAACCGACTAAACCAGCAAATAATTGTTTAATCAATTAAGCATTTCACGATATATGTACATATGTATGCACATATGTACATGCAACCGCATCATCACGTAGCATTTTTCGATGTACTTAATGCCAAAAATCAGGATCACGCCATCCAGCGTGGAAGGGACATTTAAATCCAGTCTCAATTCCAATTCCTGTCGCGTTCCATACAGAAATATAAAAGAAAATCTCTTGGCCTACCATAGACAAAGTACGTTCGCATTGAATATAACTAGACTACGGGCCCTATAATCAGTTGCACAACCAACAACAATAGTCTGATCTACTTGTATGATATTTATATACAAATGGTGCAACAAGCAAACGTTTTTTTGCAACGCTGACTTAGCCTTTAGATAATGTTATTAACTATATACGGACATTATTGACAACTGTCGCACAATCATATTTCACACACAAGAGAACCTAGAATATTTATGATATATTCCCAATTCGAATAATTGTTTACAGAGCAGAATATGTATAATATTTGTTGTACTTCTAGAACGAGATCTAGATCCCATGCAAATGCTAGAAAAGTGTAGATCAAGTACCTTTGTAGAGTCCGCAATGAGAGAATGTACCAGAAAACATAAGATAGAGTATATATTTGTAGACTAAATGCAGTTGTAGATATTTGACATAAAAACAAATCAAATAAAATGAAGTTGGAACATGCGTTGGGTTTTAACCGTATAGTCTAATTGTAGAAATAAAATATTTAAGCAATAATTTATGGAAATATATACATACATACATATATTTAAAAACCAGTTTTGATCTTGTATCGCCTCCGGATTAAAGGGTTGCAGGTACATATAATTGCAGTAGTCTGTAAGTGCTCTCAAAACACGATCTACTTGTCCAACAAAATATTGCAGATGCTGAATGGCGTTTGTCCAATTTACCCATCGGATTGTAAGTAAATGGCACACAATCAAAACAATCAAACAAAAAGTATATATTCTTGATTGATGCTCAATAGTCGAGTCGATATAGACATGTCTTTTTGTCCGTCCCTAAGTCTTGTTTAACGTCTAGTTCTTAGAGACTATAGGAGCCTGAGCATCCAAATTTGGTGTGCTTTTAGAGAACGATCTCTACCCGATTGTAGAATTAGGCTCACTCAGCTTGGATAACTATTATAGCAAGAGTAAAGAAAACGATTTCCCTTGTTGGTTGTCATTATATGTAGATACACCAACTTTTGTAAAGGTCAGAGTAAGAGATAGAGGAACGATTATATTCATAGTCCTTTGAAAGACGGGCTTTATTATTGGGACAACAAACGAGTTAGATTCGAACAATTATGTTTAAGGTCATGCCTCTCCATTAATATGTATCTACTGTACTTAGATGCGAGTATAAAATATTGTGCAATCTGGGAATACCAACTCTTTAAGCTTTTATTACAAGAATCAAGGAAATAGACAGATCTAATAGATAATTCATTCATTGTCGCTTCCTGAGCCGCTGCCGGAACCGCTTCCACTCCCACTGCCACTGCCGGATTTGCTGGTGCCGCTTTTGCGGCTTCCCTCGTCGTCGCTGCCGCTGGCGCTGCCCGCTCGGCCGCCACTTTTTGCGCTCTTGGCACTTCCTGCGTCGGACTCGCTGTCGGAGTCCCTGAGTGCCTTGCTGGCCTTGGCCTTGTCCACCTTCTTGCTGCGGCGCGCCTCGAAGTCGGAGCCCTCATCCTCGTCTGAGGAGTAGATGGTGGAAGCCTTGGGCTCGGGCTGGACGCCGCCGGCGGATCCTTTCTTGTAGCGATTCTTTATGGCGCTAAGGCTGATGGCATTCTCGTCGTCGCTGCCGTCATCGTGCTGGTAAGAGGAGGTGCCACCGCCGATGAGCGGCTCTCCCGTCCCAGCCTTCTTCTTCTTTGGCTGTGCCTTGTGCTGATTGCGCATGGCCTGGCGCAGCTTGGCCTCCTCCTCCTTGAGCTGGCTGGGGCGGTCGGTGGTGGGGTCCTTGCCAACCTGCGTGAGTATCTTGATGCCACTGGTCTTGCTCGAGCGGTCCGCCAGCGACATGGTCATCTTCTTGTGAGTAAACGACTCCGTCGAGTGCGGTCTGAAGGTCAGTTTGGTGCGAAACACGGCCTGACCCTGGAGACCGGTGCCCTGGCGTATGAAGAGATGGTTGTGGTCGCCCAGCAGGGGCTGTCGATAGGCGTCAAAGATCTCATTGCCCAGGTGGAGGGACATGCTCCCATCCGACCATCGCACGAACCGGGCGTTCGACTCCCGGACCATGTCCCCCTTGTTGTTCATGAACTCGCGCCAACGGATGGTGTTGCTCACCTTGAGCTTGATGCGCTGGCGGCCCTCCTCGTCCATGGTCTCCTCCTCGTCAATCTCGTCTTCGTAAGTCTCCGGGTCAAAGGGATGCGTAACCACAGACAAAAAATTTGGCAACTTGATGAAGTGCTGCTCCTTGCCGAGATCCGCAGCTATGCGCGGGATTTCCGCATCGATTCGTGTTTCGGGCAATGGCTCCGGCTCCAACTCCTTGGGCGCTGCTTCCGGGCGCGCTCTGGCGCGGGACCGAGACCGGGACCTGGACCTGGACCGAGATCGAGAACGGCTTACGGAGCGACTACGAGATCGGGACTTGCTCCTGCTGCGACTTCGCGAACGTGGAGATTTTCTTGTGGTCGGCGGCTCTTCCTCGTCATCGCTGATGTCATCCGCATCGCCAAAGATGTCCGCGGCGGCAGGAGCTTTCTTGGTCTGAAAATGTTGGCATTAAACGTTACATAAATTGCCCAATCTTTAGATGGGATAGGATTACCTCTTCCTTGTCGCTTTCGCTATCCGAGTCAATCAAACGCGACTTCTTGGCCTTTGTGGGTGAGGTTTCCATGTCACTGTCGCTTCCGCTCTTGCGTTTCTCATTTTCCGAGCCACTTGCCCGACGCGGCATCTTTTTGGGCGCAGCAATGTCGCTGCCGGATCCAGAGCCGCTACGACTCCGGCTACGCGAGGGAGTGCCCGACTTGGAACGTGCCGAACCCGTCTTGGAGCGGGACCTGGAGGTGCGACTGCCGCTGCGGCTGCGGCTCTTACTCTTTGAGTTGGCGCGTTCATCGTCAATTTGAAGATTTGGAGAATTCGAGCGCGATTCCTCATTCCCGCTGCCTTTCGGTGTGGCGCTACGGAAGCGACTGCGGCTGCGACTGTGGGATCGGTTGCTCTGGGGAGAACCAGAGTGCTTGCTGTGGGCAGAGTCAGATCGTCTGCTGTGGGCAGAGCCAGATCGTCTGCTGTGCGCTGACCCAGATCGTTTGCTATGGGCAGACCCAGAGCGTTTGCTATGCGCAGATCCAGAGCGTTTGCTATGGGCAGACCCAGAGCGTTTACTGCGGACAGAGCCAGCTCGTTTGCTGTGGACTGATCCAGAGTGTCTGCTGTGCGTCGACTCAGAGCGATGACTTTGCCTGGATCCCGAACGGCGACTATGGACCGACCCCGAACGGGCACTGCGGTGCGAGTCAGAGCCTGATCGGGATGATCTCGAGACGGAACGTGAACGGGGACTTCCGCTTCCAGATTTACGACTTCGTGGAGAACTAAAATGCAGTTGAACATGTATTTCCTTTCCTATTCAGTGAGAACACTTCAAAAACCTACCCCGGCGCGCTACCGTGCGGAGTGGCACTGCGACTGCGGCTGCCACTGCGACTGGAACCAGACGAGCCTAAGGAAGGAAAGCATTTAGTACAGTTGCCGCAAGATCTGGGCTTAATTAAAACATACCACTTTCATCATCTGAGGTTGGGTCGCCCATAATTTGTTTGATTTTTGATTAAAGTTCCGATCTCTGTCTGCAAATTATAATTCTTTAATTGTATCGATTTGCCCGATACTTTTAAACCTTGGTGCATCGATATTTTGTGTGCAAAAACCGAATCTTTGCAGCACTACACTCTAACAGGCGAAGAAAGTGCCCTATATATAAGAGAGCAGTGGGCTACTTTGTAAAAATGTAATAAGGCAACTGTATGAGTCTTAAAAGATTTATTTGCTTGTTATTTGAATTGCTTTTTATTTCCAGAGAGATGCCAAGGCAACGAAGCCGCGACAACCCTGTCGCTGAAAAACTATCGATATAACATTTGCATCGATACCCAAATTTTACATCCCTAATTCCTGTGTGTTTGTATTCGTGACAGCCACAAAGTTTTTGCGGAACATTTTTTGTGTACAATTTAAAGCCATTTGGGGCGCTAAATAATTGTTTATTGCCTATCAATAGTAAATTACACACGTTTCCCTACAACGAAGCGAAGTGCATTAAACTGTGAGAGGCGTAAAAAATACGCAAATCACGCAGCGAAATTTGCCCAATTCGCTAGCTCGGGTGAAATTTCAATGAACTGAGAAAACAAAGACAGACACACACAGACACAGTACTTGTGCAGTAGGGAAAGAAGCAGAGACAACAGCGCAATAGCAAGCAATTATTTACTTACAAAATAAAACCACTACAATAATATACATAAACCAAGGCAAACAATTGCATTAAAACGCGTAAGCCAGACGTTATACCCAGACATCAAGTTTAGTGCGAAGTTTTGCCAAGTGTAGCATTGTACGTGAAATTTGTGGACCCCACAGCGGCGCAGAAAATTGAAAACTTTTTGCCTCTGAAAGGCATTAACATCCTTCGGTACTCCTTCCCTCGTGAGCGACGAAGACCACGCTGCATACAGACGAAGCATATACACATACATATATATGCAATATATTTAGGGACGACACGGCGCGGAAAAATACTAACTAACCTCTCCTCTCGCTACCCACTACACTTTGCGCATCATCGCCAGCATCGGGCTGTGCTTGTGTGCGTGTAAAGGGAATACATATATCCTGTGTGTCCCGTTTGAATATTTGCCGCCCGCCGCGCTCTTCTCTCTCGTGTGTGTGTGTGTGAGAGCGCGCAAACAACGCTGAACGCTAACCTCCGACTGCCCATCAGAATAAACGTAGGCCAGCAGCAGCAGATCGCCCAATTGCTCTCCCTTCGGCCCATTTTTCCCTGTGCCGCCGAAACGGATACGGCGCCAGGACCACGACGACGACAGCAACGACGTCCACCTTGTCGCCTTGGAATGTTAAATGCGGTGAGAACGATCGGTTCAGTGTATGTTGTTGTTGGTAGCAGTTCGAGTCGATTGCAAGCGAGTGGAAAGCACACATTAACAGTGGAAGTGGAAGAAGGCGAACTATCATCTAACGTTAATTTAGGTAAGTCGAGGTAGAGGCAGAAGTGGTTTTGTTGTTCCAAGGCTATTTTGCCTTCGCGACCAAAACTACACACGAGTGTTTGTTGTAAGCGCCGTTAGCATCAGAGTAGTGTTGAAAAGCTCCCGCCTGGTCAGCTGATAAAGTTACATACGCACGTAAAATAGATGGCATTGGCGATGTAACCCGATTATCAGAGTCTCTCTCAAGACGCCTTGGCTTCCAAAAAAAAACCAAAAATAAGCAAACATAAGTGGCATGTAATATCTCAGTACTGTCGACAGACAGGTGCCTGCCGCATACCTGCTGGGCCTGAAGAACAATGGTAATGCTGCGCTCGCACAAACACCAACAAAGGCAGAAAGAGTGCTGAGAGTGCGAGCGTGAATCGCATACCTTTTCCCACTGCACTCCCTACATCCATAATTGATCGAAAGACTAGTGCAGGAGTATCCTTTTACATTTCACTTATTTCTCCTCGTCTTTCCTATAGGCATCCTGCTGCCGCGCATTCTGGTTCTGGCTTTTTCACCTACACCATTGTACATGCATACATACTTGTACATGCATACCATGTGTACCACGGCCAAAGAGAATCACGAATAATTGCTCCAGCCTTTATGTGCTACACATATGTATGCGTGTGCCCTTCTGCTTTATTTGTTGCCTCTCTTCTGATATTCTGCACATTGACAGCTGACTGGCGGCCATTTAATCTTATAACTTATAGCGAAAGGTGCTGCAAAGCGAGCCTGCAGCTTCTGTTTACTCGCTTTCAGCAGCACTTCACTTCATTATTGGAGTTAAGCTCAGCTTTTTTGTGGAGATGATCTTTCTGTCGGGCTTGGGTTTGGATGGTGTTCAACTAAAACTGGCAACAGTATTGGGTTGTTTATTGTTTATTGTGTCTCCTGTATCAGGCATACATATGTACATACGGATGTGCAAATTCAGCGGCGGGCGATGTTTATCTGTGGTGTGGAGTTATCAAATTGTAGCCGAAGTGAGTCATAATAAACAAACTTTTGTTTGTACAGCAGAGGACACTGATTTTGGAGGCGCTTCGTATGGCGCATATGGGCTCGCTCGCGATAGCCCCAATCGTGCTATGAATTTAGATAATACCGTTCATGGAAAGGTGGGGGATGGGGATTGACCCAGCCAACAGCTAATTAAGCGATTCTTTGCCTTTGCAGATTATGGCGAATTTAAATTTCCAACAACCCCCAAGAAGCATAGCGAACGCGGCGTTAGCTGGACGGACAACGGGCGGCTTCGGTGGTAGCTCTCTGACCGGCCATGTAACACCCACGTCTGGCATGTTCCAAACCGGTAAGCAAGTGTAACGCCTGCATTTCCAAACAAGTATCTTGTTATAACCCAGTGCTTCAGACTTTGCCAACTCTTATCCAGGTGCAGCGAATTATGGGCAGACGCAGCAACAACAGCCACAGCAGCAGCCCCAGTTATCGCCGAACCGCAATGCGCAGCTATCGGTTGGCGGGCCCGCCTTGTCGAGCGGCAGTCGAAACGCGAACCTTTTCGGACAGCGCCAGTTTGTTGAGCGGCGTGCCATGCAGGGGCTAGGCAGTGGACCCATGGTAAGCCCCCTGCAGGAGGATTTCCTCTGCGGACATCTGACATCTGATTTCTGACTTCTGTTTTTTCCCGTTCCACAGTCGAACATGGGAAACTTCATGCAGACGGGTCGCGGCGGCTACGGAACGGGTGGCGGTGGGGGTCCATTGAACAACTTCCACGTGTTCGGAGGCAGTGGAGCTGATGTCTCCACACCTGCCCTACTCGATCCCACGGAGTTTCCGTCGCTAACGTCGCGCGGCCAGAACGACCAAACACTGCCCCAATCGAATCCGCTCCAGCCGCCGGGCAGCAAACCCTATGGTAATTTCTTTACCTCTTGTGAGTTCAAATCAAAATCCACTTCTTTTTTATTATTATTTAATGTTTACAATTACGATAACTATTTGTGGCATGTGTGTCCCGTGTGTTCTGTGCACCCTGTGTATCTCTTGTATCCCGTGTGTTGGCTCGGTCTGTTGATCGGATCGTATCGGTTCGGTTCGGATCGGATTACTACTGGCTTGATCTGTTTCTGTTGGCCCACATAATTATGCTAAAGTATTTGTCTGTCACTAATTTGGAGAAGCGGTGCTGTTGTAGCCATTAGATAAACAAATTGATACGCCTTCCCAGCTGAAAGCACTTCACTCATCCACACTTTCTGTTCAATTTGCTTTCGATTCGCTTTCAGTTGGCATGGTGAAGCAGCCGACGTCAGAGCAATCGGAGTTCACGATGTCCAACGAGGACTTCCCTGCGTTACCGGGCACTCAAAACTCGGATGGCACAACGAACGCAGTGGGGAGCAGCAACAGCGGTGGCGTTGGCTCTGGCGGCTCCGCCACGGGCGGAGTCACAGATAACCATCTGGACGGCACGGAAAAGGCAATGAACTCAATTGTGGTCAGCGGATCCAGCGGCACCAGTGGTACCAGCGTCGGCGTTGTAGGCGGCAATGGTCTTGGCGCAGTCGGCAGTGGACTGGGCGGCGTTGTGGTCGGCGGTGGTGGTGGTGGCGGCAGTGGAGCCATTGGTTCCGTTGGCAGCTCGCACGGTGGATTGGTGGGTAGCAGTGGTGTCAACAGCGTGACAAGCAGCAATGCCATGATGGGAGTCGGCGGCGGCCTGGGCAGTGGTAGCGGAAGCAGCGTTGGCGGCAGTGGATGTGGTGTCGGCGAGCATCTGAACGATAATTCCAGCAATGATAAACTTGTGAAGAGCGGCGTCCAAACATCGCCGGATGGTGAGTATTGCCACTGAATTTAACATTTAACACTGCGTTCGGTTAGACATTAATGGCCCTTATCTCCCACCCATAACCGCAGGCAAGGTCACAAACATACCAGCGACCATGGTGAACAATCAGTTCGGCATGGTAGGCCTGCTGACGTTCATACGGGCCGCCGAAACAGATCCCAACCTGGTAACGCTCTCTTTGGGTACGGATCTGACGGGTCTTGGCTTGAACCTGAATTCACAAGAGAGCTTGCATACAACATTCGCTGGACCGTTCGTGGAACAGCCCTGCAGGTGGGTCGATGTATTTCATTTTAGATCATATTGGTTAAATTATAATGAAAGTTTTGGATTTGATGTAAAATACCTGAGACACAGCACACAATCAAATCACGTCGGTGAAACATTTCATATTTCGCCATATGGTGGGAATATCTACTAAAACAAATATCAATATTAATCTTGTGGGTCCATGCTAATCTATGTAATAGATGATAGAAATAGATAATAAAAACCACAACCGCCCTAAACATAATACCAATTTAAAGATTAGCAGAAAAATCAGTGTTCGGAAAGTGGTGTTTGTTTATACTTAAATTAATTGAATTATTATTTCTTAGAGCACAAGACGTTGAGTTCAACGTGCCACCCGAATATCTGATCAATTTTGCGATAAGAGATAAGCTTACGGCGCCGGTACTGAAAAAGCTGCAAGAGGATCTGCTCTTCTTCCTCTTCTACACAAATATCGGCGATATCATGCAATTGATGGCAGCTGCTGAATTGTACGTGATTACGTTTTATTAATTTTTAATGTAATATTTCCTAATCGCTGGTTTGGTTTCTTTTATTCAGGCATAGTCGCGAGTGGCGGTATCATGTGGAAGAGAAAATATGGATAACTCGAATTCCTGGCATTAATCAATATGAAAAAAATGGTACAAAAGAGCGCGGCACCTTCTACTACTTTGATGCGCAAAGTTGGAAACGATTGTCCAAGGTTTTCCAAATAGATGCCGAGAAATTAGATAAATGTCCCAATATAAGTGCGTTTATGAATGGACAGTCTGTATAAAATTAATAAAACTGAAAAAAATTGAAAAAAGAAAAAATCCGTCTAGAGTATTCATATTTGTACAAAGTATCAAACGGGACTGTTTTCGAATTTTTCGTTTCAGAAGCTGATCTAAAAAATCAACATAATTCGTTCTGTCAAATTGCTATTCGATAGGGGTTCGGAAGCAACTCTAAATGGCATTTCTACATGATTCTTACACGTATGTCACAAGGTGTACTAGGACAAGGAGGTGCGTCTGTGTCCTAGAGAAGTGAGTTAGAAATTTCATTACTAACGATATTACGATAACTATCAAACATATATTTTACGATATTTTTTTTAATACTGTTTGGTTTTACGCAAAATGTTTCTGGGCATACCCTGGGCGAAATGGATATTATAGAGTTGAGAAAATGTTTGTCATCCCAGGATACAATTAATAAAAAAACAATTTAGTATCTGTTTTAAACATATTTCAAATATATTTTGCAGTTCATCCTCTTTCTACAGAAACCAAGAATAGGTATAAGGTATATATAGGTATAAGGATATACAAGATAATAATCATATGCATTAAAATGTCAAAAAAAATATCATTTTGTTTGTTATCTTTGTTAATTACGTTTTTAAAACAGTTTAGAAAATAGGATCTTCATATTAAATTAACGAAATAGGGTATACAAGGGCTATACACGCATAATTTTTTAAATACCAGAAACATTGCGACTGTTGTTTTAGCCAAAATACAATAAAAGCAAGGACTAAAAACTAGCCAATCTTGAAGAAAATGTTTTTATCAACGGCCTAAAGTTATGTGGGCAGTACTAAGAATTTTAGTTAGCCAGAATTATTCAACGGAATCTCTAAATTGAGCAATATGTACGACTATCCTCTTTCGTTTTTTTGTTTTGACCTAAAATCTTTTTTTAGACAAGATCCAATAAAAGCAAGTATTAAGAATAAGCCAGTTAAGAAACAAACTGAATCATAAATCGTCTAAAATTATGTGGGCATGGCAAATTGTATTATCTAGCTAATAATATTCGACGGAATATCAAAAACTAGGAATATGTAAAATAGAACTTGAATTCAGTCAGTATATTTACGGTATATTTTTAAAATGAGCCAGTATATTTTGGTATATTCCTGAGGGTCGGACGGTATATTTCAACGATAAATCGTTAACATCGTTGTTTCTCCAGCTCTAACAAAAACAAAAAAGCCAGCGGCTGCTGCATTGGCGCGGGTTGTTTCAGACAACAAATGAACATGAATACGCCGGGCATGAGCCTTTTTCAGGGGGCTGAGCCCTTAAACGTGAGTTCGACACTGGAGCGTCAAGAAGAAGAAGAAGCTCTAGAGGATCAGAAACGGCGCGACGAGGAGGTGCGTAAATATTAAATTAAAAAAAAATAAAACATACATTATTACTCTGCGGTTTTAGCTGGGCAACTTGTTGGAGAATGCCTTCGATGATCTGGATGATGACGAAAGTACAATCGATTCGACTACGAATTACCAGTCAGATTTGTTGCCCGAACAGCCGCATCACCATCACCCCGTTCAAGGTGTACAGCCACAGGAGGATCACCATCGGCATGCCAGCGAAATTCACAAGCTAAAAATGATGCTGGAATCCAAGTCTCACGAGCGCGATCATATCAGTCAGCAAGCCAAAGATGCTCTGAATAAGCTGGATGAAGAGCAAAAGCGCGTTCGCATCTTGCAGGCGGAGCTGGACCGGGCATTGCGAGAGAAGCAGAATACACATGAGCTGCTGGTGGATACGAAAGCGAAGTGCTCAAACCAGGAGAGCAGCATGGTGAAGCTGCGTGATGAAAAGAAACGTCTGGAAGAGGACAACACCCAGCTGGAGGGGGAGCTGGAGTTGACACGGGCGATGGTTTCCGATCTAAAGTCCAAGTATGACATGGTGGAGCGTGATGTCCACAAGCGTGACGATCGCATCGCGGACTCTCGCATTAGGATGTTGGAGGAGCATAATCGAGCACAGTGCGAACTTCTGCAGGAGCAGCTGAGCCAAAGCTCAGATCAGCTGAACAAAAAACAGAACGAACTGGAAAAAATGACCGCTCGCTACAACGCACTGCAGTCCAAGCTAGATGCCACTCTACGAGAAAAAGCAGCCACGATAAATGAGCTGAACGGAGCTCTAGATGTGGCCCAGAGTCGGTGCCAGCAGCTTGGTAGCAAGCCCAACTACGAGCAAGAGTGCACGCGACAGCAGCAGTACATCAGAGAGTTGGAGGCCAAGATCGCCGCCATGGAGCAGACCATAGCCCTCCTGAACGGGCATCTTAGTGGGACCACAGCAGAGCTGGATCTGATGGATACACTGTTGATGCAAAACCAAACGGACGGAAGCAGCCCACGGGCTGCCTCGACGCGTTTGGTAGGGGGCACGCCGCTTAATCCCGCCGATCGCATAGGTCACATCAAGCAGGAGCTCTACCGAGCTCTGAGCAATCTCAAGAACATGAGGGAGGAAGTTCGCAAGCTGGAAAAGCTGTTGGAAGAGCGCAACCACGAGCTGCGCCTCCTTCGCGGGCAGGAGAACCAGTCCCTGGTGCAGCTTGCCACACTAAAAGAGGACAAGATGCGGCTGGAGAGCCGCATTAAGAACATGCAACAGGAGCTGGAGGAGCTGGAACATAGGTCTAAAATTGATTTAAAACTGCAGGACGAGGTGAAAGCTTTGATGGCTGAGCGGGATGCGGTGAATGAGCAGCGCCAGAAGATCGACAACCAGCTGAAAAAGGTTCAGATGGATCTGGAGAGGGTGAACCAAGAGCAAGATAACCTCAAACAGAACTATGAGCAGCTCCTGCAGGATAACCGCCAGCTGCGGTCTCGCGACACAACGGACAACCTTCGTTTGGAGTTGGAACGACACAAGATCCTGCTGAAGGATGCCCAAAGCGAGGTGGAACGGCTAAAGAAACTCTACGCAGACATTGCCAATGACAAGGATACCCTCAGCTATGAGCTTCGCAAGCTACGCGACCTGGACACTGTCAAGGAGCTTCAGGAGCAACGACAGCTGTTGGCCAATCTCCAGCGCACCGTGCAAATTGCCGAGCTCAAGTCGGAGGAGCTGGCGAGCATTCTGGAGACGGAGAAGGTCAGTCACCAGAGAGAGCTGCAGACCCTGCGCGAAAAATGTGAGCAAGATAAGTGCGAAGAGGTGGCCGCAGTGGCCAAGGAGAGCTCCGCGAACTGCAGTAGATGTGTGGAAAAGTGTTCCGAAATCGCAAAGGTAAGTGTCTGTTCGCGCCTACTGTATACGTATACTTTTACATGATGAATGCGGCCTCTTTCAGGCTGAGATCCAAATGCTCAAGCTTCAGAATATTAACTCAAGGCAGGCCAAAGACTTAAAGCAGCTCTCGGAGGATCTGGAGCAGTCCAAGGCCTTCCAGATTGAACTCGAGGATAAAATTAAGCAGTCCATCGAGCAGGAGAGTCTCCTCAATGAGCTCAAGGAGAAGGCCAAGAAAATGGAGGAATACATTTTACAGCAGGAAGAGGCGAATGCGAAGGCCGATCATCAGAAAAAGACGCAAAGTTCGCCGGGGGGGCCCTCGATAGAGCTCAACCAAGAGCGAATCAAGCGCATCGAGCAGCGAGTGCGTGACGAAATGGCCAAACTGTTTGCGGTGGAGCTGAAGAATTTCACTCCCCGCCTGCAGCAGATGGAGGAGAAAAACCTCGCCCTTCAGCGCAAGTACCAACTGGTCTGCGGCGAGCTCCAGCAGCGCCAGAACGAAGTCGAGCTGCTCAAGCAAACCATACTGGCGGAGCGGGAAAAGATCGGAGAAATGCTGGAGGCCAAGGAAGAGAAGCAGCAGGCCATACTGCAAAAATGTCGCAGCGAGCTCCAGGCAAAGAACCAGCGCATAGCCGAGCTCATACGGACTCTGGACGAACAACATGCCAGCATCGACTCTGAGCGCAAGTCAATGAAGGCAGTGATGGCTCAGTGGGACGCACAAAAGCAGTCTGTGGAGCAGGTGGAACAGCATTGGCGCGAACAGTTGCAGATGCTGCGCGACACCCATGAGGAGGCGATGCGATCCGCGCACCAGCGATATCAGAGTGCCAAACGGACGGCCCACAACTACAAGCTCTATGCAGAAGACAAAGAGGCGCACATGAAGCGAGAGTACGACCGCATCAAGCACGAGTACGAATTGTCGTTGGCCAAGATCGAGCTCCAAATGAATCAGCGCCTGGAGAGGAAGGGTCGCGAGTCGCATCGCGACAAGGAAAACCAGCCCAGCAACAGCAATAGTAGATAGGTTTACTTACCGTAAGTAGGTCGTTAAAAGCATGTTCGATTTTTACCCAATTGTTTTATGTACAGGCAACTAAATATACTCTCCCGTACATTCCGACATTCCGAATGATTGTAACATTTTTCTTGGATTATTCAGTAAGAAGCCCCCCTGTAGCTTAAATTTCAGAACGAGCTTCTCCGCCTCGCCTGTTTCAATCGCAAGCGTTGCGAAAGTCATGGCTATGGGTTTCGTTCAGAGACCGTAATAATTATAAGTAATATAATAAGAATTACTTGGTAATGATTATATTTAAATTTTTCTTCACTGATAATCATTATTTTTGAGTAATTTCATAAAACTTAGACTTAATCATTATTCTTGATAAAAAAAATAAAACTCAAAAATAATGATTATTTTAAAATAAAATTCAACAGGAATTTACGGCTTGTGTTAGAATGCTCGACAATATTATTGCATATCCTTGTTAAAGGACCACAATACTAACACCTGCGCTGTTTTTATTTTTTAAAATAATTAATCTATATTATATTATACTATATTTTTCTCAAAATAAATCTCTGCATTTATTTGTGTTATTTATGTAAATATATATATTTTTATTTATTGAAACTACATTATAACAAACACCAGCTTCCGATCGGCAACTGCTGTTATGTATCAATACAAAATAAAAGATAATGAAAGCTAGTTACTCATAGTCGTACCTAAGACTTACGAAGACTACGCTCATCCAATTGTTTTATCTATATTTAGAATTGCTTATCCTAAGCCGAGGGTGTTAATGCATTGATACTTAGATTTTCGTGATAATTCTTAGTCGCGGTGCAAGATAGGCCAAGATACCAGCTGACCAAAGTGGTGCACTCAGTTCCTGCGCCGCAAGTTTCGGCACTCAAAATGATGCTCACTGATCAGAGATGCAACCTCGCGGACTTTTTGTAAATATAAATAAAAAAAATTAAAATTTTAATGTATTTTCAAAAAGAAAATTTTAGCGCAGGGGGTAGCTTTGTTGTCCCTTAACAAGGATATACATCCCATCCATGCCTTTCGTCCAGATGACAGCAGGATGTTTTATACTCATCTAGCCAGTCAGTCTGGCTGGGAATGAGTAAGGCGTGGAAGGCGTTGCGTTGCCACTGCAAATTTAGTTCTTCATTCTGGCTATAATAATAATCAGATCTAAAGAGCTGTGGCAAAATGCTCAAATACACTTGTAAGAATGTGATATCGCGGAAGTCTGCATACAAAATTATAGTCTTATAGTCTATGAGATCTAGGACAGACAGACATGGCTATATCGACTCGGCAGTTGATGCTGATCAAGAATATATATTTAGGTCGGAAACGCTTCCTTCTGTGTGTTACAAATGTCCACTGTTCTCACAGATCTAATTCTTGACCTATATTCTTCTTGAGTATCGAGTATAATTGTACAAATATATACGCGCAGTTATCCATATGAACTGTCAATTTTTTATACAAAGGGGAGCAAAAGTGAGTACATACTCAACATTTTGTGCATAGTATGGTTAGATATTACTTTTTTAATACGGTTTTGAATGTTCTCTATCAAATTCCCAAAAATATCTTTTGGAATACGATTGCATTGAGAATCTACACATCCCCAGAGATCGCCTTGGTTAGATGGCGCTTATTCGTAGTGCTCAAGCCGTCGTTTCACGATTGACCGTAGGTTTTCAATCGGATTAAGTTCGGTTCTTTGAGATAACCGCTCCATCAACTCCATTTCTCCGGAAAATTAAGAAGTTAGGCTTGTAGAAGTTTTAAATAGTCCTCTCTGAACTGAATACCATACATATTTTGTAGAGGACCAACCTGCTGGCACGTAAAGCATCTTCAATAATTCAATATTTCATATTATTCCCCACTGTGTATAGTTTGCGGCATTGCGGCAATAGTATGCGTTTATCAAGTGTACGTCTCGCTGGTAGGTTCGATATAGGAGTTTTTGCTCGATGTGCCTGTGCCAAAAAATTTAAATTTTTACCATTTCGCTCAAAGGCTGTCCTGCTTGGGATTCGTCACTTCCACATTACTGCTTTCTTTTTTCGGCTCCTATAGTTTCTTTAATGCTAATTAAATAAATAAATAAAGGAATTAAATAATACTGATTATTGTTTGGTTTTATTTTCGCTGAGCGACTGGCTGAATTTCGTCCAGCATTTGTGAAAGATCTTAAAGAACTTATCAATCTCTTCTTGAGTGATGCCCAGGGCAGCCGCCACGGTGAGATAAGGGATTTCCAGGTTCGTCTGGTGGGAACCGAAATCTGAATAGAACGACTCCAAATAATATCAACACTCCATTACCCGCAAATATGTATTTTCGAACTGACCTGAGAATGCATGTCCATCTATAGTTTTCTTCTGACCGGGGATCACTACGCGCACCCCAGAGACTCCGCGCATGTGCAGCATGGATCCCAGCTGTGTAATACTTGACCCTTGACCCGTGGCGACACAGAGAGTTCCCAATGTAATGGCCAACGATATGAAGTTTTCCCTGCTTTCGATAACCTGTTCGCCATGACTTTGTGCGAATGCAATTAGCTGTTCCTTGAGATAATTAAAGTTATCCTCCCGCTTCTGGACCAACGATTGGTAGCCGCTCCGTCCCAGTGACAGCAGCGTCATGAAGACATCCAGCGTTTGAGAACCACTCGCTCGACCCGCATAGCTACTGCCCACCAGATGCAGAAGGGTCTGGTTGAAGCTGGCCACAATGGCACCACCCACGGGTACCAGGAAATTCTTGTCGCTGCTCTGCACAAAGTAGTCAATGCGGCCCAATCGCTGGGCCCGTTCCAACTGTCGCGAGATGGTACTGATCTGCAGCCCATATGCATTGTTCACGAGATGGGGAAGGTTGCAGCGCTTGGCCAGCTGGGCAATGTCAACGATGCTATCGCTGTTTCGTGGAGCAAAGCAGCTTGTGGTCGTGTAAAGACATAGGATGGTTTCGGCACCTAGATCCTCAATCTGTTGTTGGAATGCATTTATGTCAGTGCTTAGAGCTTGATGCTGCACCAGGCAAGGGACTATCACGGGCTCTAGACCCGCGGCCGTAATGGCTTTAAAGCACGACTTTTGGTCGATGCGTGACCAGAGGACATATTTGGCTTGTGGACGCTGCTTGCGCAGACTCTGCAGGCACAGTGTGATGGTCATGCCGGTGCACATCGGCACCAGAAAACATCCTCTGCAGCTGGGCAGGCCAAGGCCCTGCATTAGATCCAAGATCAGTGCATTCGTGAGGTGTGCGAGCAGAGTGGAACCAGCTGCTTTGGGCTGTGCCTCTAGCAGATCGCCAGAGCGTCCTATGCCATGTCCAAAGTTGTAGTGACGTCGGGACACAAGTCCTGCGTGGGGCAAGGTAAAATATGTATTAATCTTTCAGATGACACCTAACTGAACCGTTACGTACGGCAAGTGATGCGCGCCTCCCGCTCGCCTAATCCCACTTTGTGAGGAAAGTTGTTGCTGTCCAATGACGCTATTTGGTGCACCAGCTCTTCAATATGCTCATCAGGCCACCCATTTGCTGGCAATTTTCGCTGCAATTACATTTCATGATTTTGAGAATATTTACATATTAGTTTTAATCAGTATTGTTTACCTTTTCAAGGAGCTCTTTGAATCCACGCTGCTTGGGGCGTTGCGCTGCCAGTCCCAGCTGCCAGTAGTTGTCAGGTACCAGTTTTTGCGGAACATTAATATTATCAAAATTCATTATTAATAAACCAGATAAACAAATGAAAAGTATATATCGATGTATCGATAATTTTTAATATTTTATATCGATGGTGAAATCATCGTCAGGCAGCGCCGTTTGTGGCCCGCGTCTGGTATCACTATCATCTTATGGCGTCAGTGTCGGAATTTAAAAATTGTGTTAAAATTTCAGAAGTATATACTAAGTTAAGCCGGAAACGTATTGTTTAAACTCATCAATAACCAATGAAAAGTGTAGAGCAGTAAAATGTATGTTGCCCCTAAGGGACCAAGACTGAGAGTTCAGCAATAAAATATGTTTTTCTCATTGGCTGTACATAGGTCGAAAACCAAGAAAGATACAACAGCGCTTGAGTTGGACGATATTTTAAGCGAGCCTATTACAAACTCACAGAAGCTTGCCGCATTCTTGCAGCGCAAGGCAGCGGAAGCTCAAAAGCCCAAGAATGACCTCGTCTTTGGGAACTTCTCCTTTGACCTGGATTTTGATGTACCGGTCATACGGAAGCCACAATCAGAAGGTACTCAGGGGAACAAATTGATGCCTTTACAAGAATTAGGTAATGCCAATGCGAACATTCTAGCAGCGAACGAGACCCCCGCTTCGGACGTGGCACATCCACCTCCAAACGTGGCATCTTATGAGAATCTGCCGCCCCAGTCAGGCAGAAATTCACCCTCGCCCGCCCGTCGGCATCCTGCCAGACGTAGTGGCACAGGCGGCCATGTTCCTGGCTCTGATAAGCTACGACGCCATGCTATTCGCAGGCGGTCGCAGAGTTGCGGCCGTCGTCAACTCTTGCAAGACTTTGATGACGCAGCTAATCTAACTCGGAGCTCCTCCAGTCCATTTCCTTTTGTAAGTCACAACAGAATCAATTCCAATATGTTGGTAATTTAGTCTATGTTATTATTCTTGTAGGTGCCAGAAATAAGCAGCACTCCAAACTGCAATGACAAAATTCTTGAGAATCAACCACAGTCTCGGCCACTATCACAGCCACAGCCACAGCCACAGCCGGCTTCAGATCCACAGCCCATAAATAGACTAGCTTCGAATGCAGCCTTTGCTGCTGAAATCGCTGAAATCTGTGAACAAAGGTTTGCCCTGTTTGAAAATAGTATGGTGCAGATGGACCACAAGGGGGATGCACCATCCCCGCGCCCGGTATCACGTCCATTGACTCCCTCTGAAAGGCATCGGACTTATACGGTTGAAAAGAGACCTATACCTGCGCAATTGTTGCCATCGCCATCGTCGCCAAATATTTCACTATCAAAGAAACCAGTGGTGCGTGTGAGACGTTTAGATACTCTTCTGTCACCAGGTACTACCAACAGTCTGCACCAATGTGAACGGGTATCGGCACCGGTGGAGGAGTGCTATGTACCGGAAACACAGCCCCAGCAGTCCCAACAGCTAGCCGAAATTGTGCACAATCTATCGAGGAATAGCAGCGTGGTAGTTATACCATTAGGTGGAGCCTTTAGTCCCAAGCCAGATGCAGTTAGGCCTTTGGCACAAACACATTCACCGGTTGTATCACAAGCCGGAGCTGCAGCAGCTCGAACAGTAACTGTTGGTACTCCCGAATCAAGTTCTCCAACAGCATCTGCTGGTACCCACAAGTCGTTAAAGTCGAAGACAGTTTCCTCTCACAGAACACCTCAAATTGTTGAGGACTTGGACGCAATCTTGACCGATGATGAAAGCGACGAACAGCCAAGCGGGTGTGCTTTGAACCTGGCGCCGACCGGTGGTAATACTACCAGGCAGAACCGCATTCGCAAGCGCAACAATCGGCAGCCATCTGATGACCAGGAAAGTTCCATAAAACTTCTCAACCTACACCGCTCGAATAAATCAAGCAAGTCAAAGTCCAAAGGTGCAACTGCTCCCAGGCTGAACAAGGCGCCTAGTGCCCCAATCAATGGTGAACAGTTTGCCAAGGAGCTGCAACGGATGAGCAACTATGAGATTCTTGATCTGCGCAAGAGAAACTCTCTCGGCAGGGTGTATCCGCTGAATGGGCATAGAAAGCATAGTGCAGAGCAGCAAGAGGTTCTGGAGCAGAATATTCAGTGGGAGCTAATCCGCAGGAACCTGACAACAGAAACAGAAACCGAGCCATTGCCCAGCTCTGTATCTGTACAGCACGAAGAACTTGATTATAGGGAGGAGGCAACGGATATGCCACCGCCAGCTCCCCTCGGCTTTAAAGACAATTCCCAAAGGGAGAGCCGCGGGCAGTCCAAAGATCGGCGGGAGCGACCCTCACGATCCAGACGTCGTGAGGCTCCAATGGTAGGTAATCGAAAACAAAAAAGGACAAATAATGGTTTCTATTCAAATTTTAGACAGCAGAGCTTATTAACTATATGGCGCTCGCAAAGACTATGGAAATCCGTAGAAAATCATCCAGGAACTACTGCAAACGTAGCCTTTACACTAAGGGTAACTCGGAAGTGGAAGATCTCGACTCGGTGTCACCGGAGAAGCAGTTAAGGTTAGGTGAGACCTGCCAAGAGCCTACTCCAGGGGGTGCCAGGAGCATGCAAAGCCATGACGTTGGTGAGGAGGAAATTCCAATTGTTCCACCACCCCCTCGTTCACTCAGATATTCGCAATGTTTGCGGGATCTACGCCACAGCAGCAAGTCCGATTTTGATGAGGTCTTGGCAACCGCGCAGGATGTGGATGATGGAGACAAATCCCGCTCCCAGTCGAATGGGCAGAAGAATATTTTGGATGAAATTGCTCCCCCTCCGCCAGAGTATAATGACAAAACTGAAGAGCATGGGGTAGATGTGCAAGGGAAGAGCTCTTTTACGATGTCTTCTGATGCACAGCCTCGGCTATCCAAATCTAGTGTCCGACATAGAAGAAAAGAGCAAATTTCTCCCCTTCCTTCAGAGGAAAGGGCGGAATTTGATGACCAGTCAGATCGGATAACCAATGGGAACGGACGAAGGAGCAAGCGGTCCCCAGAGAAAAATGAGGCAGAGGAAATACACGAGACGGTTGTATCCCGCATGTCTAAGAACAGAAGCCGACGCTTATCAAGGATGGCTAATCAGAAGGAAGATATTGTTGAGCCGGCAGGTAACACTATGGATGATGATGCGACTACAGATCAGCGATCCGCGTACAAGGAAGTCCTGCCCATCAATACTGTAGTTTCTTCAATGTCAGAGTTCACTGCCGTGACGGATGATCAGCCCAGTACAAGTCGGGCCGCACTCGAGGCTCTGACACGTAGAACCAATGAGCCTGAGCCTGAGCCTGAGTCTGAGTTTGAGGCCAGAGCCGTCGTAGAGAAGGAAGCGGTGGTATTTAAGAAACCCTTGGCGCGGGCACCGCGTGCTAAATCAAAGTCAAAAAGAGAGCTAAACAATTTAAGGGACTCCGTGATATATAATGAAGTGGAAGTGGATTTCAATGAATCTTGTAAGTAGTACCAAACGATATGATATTGCAATATTTTCATTCAATTTTTTCGGTTATTCGCAGCCCTTCGGCGGTCCCGGCGTGGTCAGGTACCATTTAAGAACACTTGGTGTCATACCGTCTCAGATCCCAGGCAGTTTGCCTTCGTCCGTAATTCCATGGATGTAAATGAACAGAAAACATTCAAACCGTCCTTGAAGAAGAAGTCCAGTGTGTCGAGAGTAACCAAAACGTCTTTGCTAAATAGGCCACCATTGTGCAGCAGTACACCCCGGCTTCCACAAGAGCCCCTCCAAGCAGTTATAGAAGATTTTGAACCCCAAGAACCTTCTGAATCTAGTTCTCTGGGAGTCGCGCCTCTAAGGTGGGAAGATAATGATACAAATGCCGTACAAACAACTAAGAAACGTGAATACAAAAAAAATAAGAAAAGCCAAGCGGTCGAGGTGGCAACGGAGCCAGAGTCAGAAGCGGCTGCCTCAATGCCTCCACCAGCTCCTGTCCCTAAAAAAAAAGGGCGAAAAAATAAGAAACAGGCGCCGCAGTTGGAATGCGATCTCGATCCAGTAGCACCAATTCCTCCGACACCAAGTCCAAGCGTTTCGGATAACCACCAGGCTGCTTCCATGCAACTCATGAACTGGTTACGAGGCTACAGTAGCAATCAGCCAACATTCAGTATGGAAGACAGCAGCGGGAACCGAATAGGAAAGAGTGTCTGTAAGTATATCACTGAACCAATCTATGCATTGGAGAAGATATAATCTCGTATTTCTTTTATTGTCCGCAATCTGTAATTTGTTGATCTCGGAATTAAACTTGGCTTAATTTTGCATTTGCAGCTACTGTCGGTGAATTAGTGTTCACCAACTTGGACGACATTGAGTACGCTTTCTACGACACCAAGGACAAGGCGACTGTGGGGTATATGCGCTTCCAGCCGTCACAGAAGCGAGAGAAGAAACGGGCTAAGGGCTTTTCCCTGGTATGTACTTGACAGATTCTTTGATATCTGTTTCTCAACGCTTCTCATTTATTCCTGGATTAGAAATTTGTTGTTCTTTTTGGACAATTTGGCATGGACTGCAGTGTCCCGGAAGTGGAGGAAGATGATCACTGCATATTAAACATCGGTGACATGGTTGAGATCGAGAAAGGTAAGACATTTATCAATCGACCATTGACTGCCAGCTTGTACATAAGTGCACTTTCCTACTTCTTTTCCAGGCACCCGTTATAGTATTCAAAACTTATTGGACGAAGTGAGTGTGCTGATGGTTATCCGCAATTAGACCTTTGTACTGCTGATGTTACTTTTCACAGAAAAATTAACATACTTTGTAATGTACATGTAATGTTTATATTGCCTCTGTCTTGTTATTAAAAAATATAAAAAATTGAATTGGATGGAAAATAAATACTCGTAAAAGTACTCCTCACCTCCTACCCACACCTGAATCAGTCATTACTAAGTGGTTCATGTAGTCTGAAAATAATAGGATAAATCATAAAATTAGGTTTAAAGAAGCTAAGTAGTCACGCGTACTAGCCTAGCCTGTGTGCAGATCGCAGTAATACGTACAGTACCTTAAACTATCCGCTCTGCTCTGCTCCGGTACAGGTCCTGCGTCTAGTCGCTCAAAATTTCAAGTTCATTTAATTTTCATTTTCTCTACATTTCCCAAGCTTCCCGCTGCTGTTGGTGTTGCCGTATGGGTATGTATATTTACTCGTATTGTCCTGCGTGGGTGCCTGGGTGTCACTGGGGACTTCAAAAGCGAAATGGCAAACAAGCGGAACGAAAGCAAAAGCAAAAACAAAAGCAACCAGAAACAGAACAGGATGACGATGCTGCCAGCTCCTCCAACTCAACTCCACATGCATCTTTTGAGGCATTTTGCACGTTTTCTTTGTGTAGCACTTTTTCGAAAGTACACAAAAATATACTCACTCTCACACACGTGCCTAAGCAACAGCAACACAAACATAAATTCGAAGAAGAAAATTAAATCAACAGACATTTTCGGAGCTTGAAAGCGGCAGGTGTGCTTCAGTATTGGCACGCAGGACTCAGGACCTCTGTCCCAGCGCGATGCCTATGTCAGAAAACGCTCTGTGGCTGGAACAGCATTTAAGATTAACAAAACACCATCCGACATTCATTACAAAAGCGTCAAGCCTTTGATCATCCCACACCTAGAGGCACGCGCGACAAACATATGTATGTACATACATATGTATGTACCTCCCTCACCGATGATGGTGTTCCCCGATGGTGTCGGTGTACTTCAGTACTGTGACGCTGTGGAAGTACTGTGGACTGGAATTCCAGCTGGACGTTACGACCGAAGCACAGTTCTTCCAAAAGTCGGGGAATGTTTAAGGGCTGGTAGGATAGGAGAAGAGCGTCGACAGTGCTTGCTTGCAAGGCAGTTTCTTCTTTGGTTGCTTAATTTTAACAGCTACTACTCTATTCCATCAAACGAAAATGTATCCTATTTCTACCCGATATTCAAAATGAGTATAGGGGTATTTTAGATTTGTGGTGAAAATGGATGTGTGTAATGCCCTGAAGGAAGCGTTTCCTACCCCATAAAGTATATACATATATTCATGATCATTATTAGCCAAAAGTAACGAATCCATTTTCGGTCGCTACGCAGCGCCCGACTACACGTTTTGACTGATTTTCTGTCTCTATAAATGTACAGTTGCGGTCGCAGAAGCAACTCCCAACGTTCCCCCACGTTTAGAATATGCTGCATGGGGCACCAGTTCGTTTCCAAATTTATTTGTTTTTGCCCTTGATCTTGAGAAGTCTACTACTTTTCCTTAGTAATGCCTAATTGTATTGTATCAATTGTATCAATTTAAAAATTGTTGTATATCTGCTTAGTTGTATAGTAGCTAGTCTATTAGCTAAAGCTCAATGCCTCAATAGGCTGTGTTTGAAGTTTAGTAATTGAGGGGCCTTAGTGGTTTTAAGAACTACTTAAAGTTTAGTAATTATCAGGCCTATCCCCAATATGATGACGTTGGAATTGATCCCGTTGATCGTGGAACTTTAAGCGAACATCAAACACTTGCAATCAACATTTGAAACAGATAATACCCATAATTCCAAGGTCTTAGTTCCATTAGGTTTTTGTTGTTGTCCTTTTCAAGTGCTGCAATAAATTTATTTGGGGTCTGCACTCTAACACTCCATCCATTCCCACCCATACTCCCTTTAGTTGGTGTTCTGCGGCGTGGAAATAAGGTTGCTGCTGGCAAGTATGAGCCGAGTGTGCCAACACAAGCGGCCAAAAGCAGCCAAGAGCGGCCGAAAAAGGTGCTCATGCATATTTAAAAAGGGCTCAGTAGGTAGGTAAGTATGTGCGATGCTGTCAACAGATCCGTTTTGGAGGTGGCTAAGAATCCAGATATTGCTGGACTCGCACGCATTTGCATTTCGGACAAGAGTCAGAACTTTTTTGTTTTCTGCGAGCAGCTTATGGGGGTGTCTGCCAAATAACTAGACCCATATCAAAATTTAATTTCATTGTGGGTCAGTCCGATATAAATACCTTTAAACATACATATGGACATACATACAAATATCTATACATACGAGCAAGTACATATTTACATATGTATATTCGTCTTGGTTCTAGACTTGTAATTGAAAAACCCAACCACTGACAATTGGTTGACTCTAAATTCTTGTTTAATTAGTTGACTTACTTAGTTGATTAGATACGGCAAAATGGTTATCGAATGTTTTAAAAATCTGCTGTTACTACTCATACATACAGTGTATGAATCTTGGCTTCAGCAGTCAAGAGTAAATTTTCAATATTTAACTGTTCTTCTACAGTTCAAGCTGTGGCCTAATTGGTGCCCTTCGACCTCTCTTCATTCAAGTAAATATGTTTTAATCCAGGCAGGAGTATTTTTGCGAAAGTCAGATAGAATTTTGGTTTCTCTTTTTTCCTTTCCATATTTTTACCTATTTCCAGCCGCACCAGCCACAGTACAGTCACCGAGACTACCGCATAATCTGTCAACGTGCGACATCCCATCATGTCCGTTGTGTCCACTCCCCGGCACAGAAACCTTAATTAACAGCAGCTGCATTTGCGGTGGATTACACCATTGTCGCCACGCCGCCGCCTCCCCCACAAAAATGCAAGCCCGCACCTATGTCAGTCACTGGCTCTGGGTTAGCACAAATTAGTTTTGCATTAAGAGTGCAACGAACGACCGCTCAGATGTCCACTGCCGGAGCCTGGGCTAATGCTAATCAGCCCAACGAGAAATTGGTTTGCGGAAGTGGGGCCATCGCAGCTGCATCACCCGATTAATAGGTTGTACGTCTGTCTCTGTCGAGCGCGAGTCTCCCTGCTCTCCACCGACTCTGAATCCGTTTTAATTAATGGTGTTCCCGTTCTCGCCGCTGGACGAAAATAAAATATTCAAATTAGGTCTCGCTTTGCAGTGAATGATTTGAGAGTCTGGGTGGTTAATATAGGAAGCGGCGCTTTGGCTGACCAAAGACAGTTCTTATTTGCGGTAAGGGAAGCTCAGAAAGTCCCGCTATTCAACCCCGCACAGAGGTTTCAGTGTGTGCGTTTATTGTTTTTTCCCCCTTTACTTACGATGTGAAAAGCTTTTAAAAGTTAAAGTGTTCTTTTTCAACTCCAAAAAAGCTGTCAACCCATTAAAAGACGGCTGCAAAATGGTCAAGGGCTGGCGCTAATGGCTTAATAGGGATTTATGTACACTAGTCTGCCTATTATTGATATATGTACCTTATATATTAATCTCGTATTTCAATGGGCGTTGATGACTTTAAACCGATATATAAGGATATTCTATATGTGGTAGATTCTGATTAATAAACAATAAAGGACAACCTTCTCAATGATAACAACCCAATGAGTACATATGTAGTATATTATATTCGTGTAGATGCAGATTGCCTTTTTTTAAATGTTACCAGCCAGAACGAAATGTTCTCAGAGACTATAAGAGCTAAACTAACCGGTTTTGTGTTCAGACTCCTGAACAGCCCGAAATCGCTAGAAAAATATATATATATGTATGTATAGCGAGTGTAGAAATATATTATATAATTCATATATAAAGAGAGACAGAGCAAGAGATAATGAAATTGTTTTCTTGATTCTGGCTATAATAATTATGCGATCTGGTTCATATTTTACACTCTGGAAGATATAGTCATCCTCTAAGATTCTGCGTATCTTTGAAATTGTGGATGCCACAGATTTTCGTCCTTGTGGTGGCGGAAAAGGGTGGGGCAAAGTTTTGAAATATACTTGTAACAGTGACATATCACAGAAGTCCAAATATAAAATGTCGTTGCTTTAGCTCTTATAGTCTTTGAGCACTCGGCGCTGATAGGGACGGACAGACGGACACGGCTCAATCGGCTCGGCTATTGATGTTGATCAAGAATATATGGGGTCGGAAACGATTCCTTCTGGACGTTACACACATCCATTTTCATCACAGAACTAATATACCCCAATACTCATTTTGAGTATCGGGTATAAAAATAGAGCATATGTGTGTTATACTAGTGTCGAGCATCAACGTCAAAGCTGGGCATAAAGCTGTGAAAGTATAAATGATATTTAGTATCAAGTATATTGTATTTTCGAAATGGTATCAAAGTTTAACTTAAACAATGTACAATGTACATCCATTAGTTAGAACCGGTCTGAAAAGGATTCTTTTTCAGACAAGTAATCCCCCAGCTTTATATTTAATGTTACTTTAATATATTGCCCAAGATTCATAGTCGTTTCTGCACAGTTCAAAGCAGACCAATAGAGATTCTAATGCTATTTGCATGGATTTGCAAAAAAAATGGTTGGAGATTCGAAAATTGGAAGCAAATATAAATGACATCGATTAGAGGCGCCTCCGCTGGCGAATTGGCACGTGCCCGATTTTTAGCTTTTCTGAATTCCGATTGAGATAAAAAAGCAAAGGTTTGTAATTTAATTGCACAGCGGAAATGCATCGATGCATTCGAGTGGTTTATGCATGGCAGGAATCCTGTCGCATCCTGTCTCCGATAAACGGTGCATTAGGGGGCGTGCAGGCAACGAGATGGACCAGAAGAGGAGAAGAGGAATGCAGCCAATCGATGAACCGAAACATAAACACACAACTTCAATTTGGCCATCAACATCACTCCGCCCGCAATTGCATTTCACTTCACGCCAACCCATCGCAAGGTAGTCATCCCAAAACCAACATCCGAGGATGATGCGGCGGAGGGCTTATAAAAACCACTCAACGCTGAGAGTGCAGACTCAGCAGTATCGGCCGCAGTGGCACGAGAAATTGTTTCTGATGGCCACGACCCTTGGAAATGCCTAGGCCTACATAGGTGGTCCATCGAAGGTCC